ATTTGATACATCTGTACATTTAAGTACTATAAAACTACAGGTACTGATGATTGGATGGTATTTTAATGATTTTAATGAGAGGAGTTATTGGTCATTGGATATAAAATGGCAGATTGTCCTATATTGAATTACTGTCAATATACCCAATATTCACATATCATATTTCATAATTAGTTTAATTGTTACATTTTATTCTCATTTCAACAATCAACATATCATCTTTAGTATTTTCACTACAATTACTTCACTTGCCAACATACAAACACATGCTGTTTTCATGAATAAATTTACATATCATTTGCATAAGTCTGCATATGTAATAATAGAACATGATCTTATGAATGAATGTGGCACATGGCGTTGTCATGAATGAGTGATTTTTATTGAAGAGATGATAGTGTGTACTTGATACTTTTCATTTTCTATATTCAATTGATAAAAATATAAAGAAAGTGGACTGACAAGTAAAATCATTATTTATGAATCAGTGAAAAGTTTTTATGCTAATTGTTTGTATATGTTTTGTCAGTTTCTTTACTTGAAACAAGTTAAGAATAAATCAGGTTAAAGGGATGAGACACTGATGTCATATAAAATGATATACTTTATAGGAAGAGATCCTCTTATCTAATATTATTCTTTTGATGTATGAATTTACTTAGAATTGTGGATTTGTTCAACCTTGCTATACCAATGATTTTATAGGATATCAAAAGAGTTAATTTAGGTTCAAAAATAAAATCAATTAAAACCAATTGACTGCAAGGACTCTCTTAATGTTGACATTATTTTTTCTAGTAGTAAAAACATGCAGATATTTCAATGGTATATTTCACAATGCCACTTGAATGACTTCCTTAAATAGTAAGTTTTACGCCTTTCTTTTGAACTGATCCTACATAGGTATGCAATGCTGTGTGCAATGGGGATATTTTCCAGGATGGAATTGAGTTAAAAAAAAATCAGCTTACAAGGTTAACATCTAATAATTTGAGCCACTTTTGGGTTTTTAAAAGTATTTGATTTGCCACCAATCTTACATCTGTGCAATATCTTATGATAAGAAATGTAGAAATCCAAATTGCAAGTCAGCAATTATTTTGATCAACTTTGAGAACACTTGTGGTCCTTTCATTATTACATGTTTCTTTTATCTCTTTATTTAAATAAGAAAGTTACATCACTTCAAATTCTACACTTTCTACCTCCTTACTTTTAATTTCAAATCTTTGTATTTTTTATTAGAAAGAAATTAAAGAGAAAACATTTCTTTATTGTTGTTTGACTTGAAAGACTTTATATTGGTTGAAGAAGTCAATACTAGAGGTACAGAATGTGAATATTATATAACACTTTTATAAGCATATTTGATATTACTTTTGGAAGGTACTGCAGAAGATGTTCTGTATATTGAATTTTGAACATTTTTAGAAGAATTTGAGTAGGATTGGAGTAATTATGGAGCGTCTTAAAGGTTTTTTACATTAATGGACTGTGTCTTGATTGGTGATTAGGACTTTGTTTCTTACATCTTAAGGTGATGAATTGTTTTCAAACCATCCAGTAGTGATTATAAATGGACTTGTATTATGTTGACACCTTTTATTGACCATCAGGTTGTATTGTTTACAGGTCACATCAACTCACCTGTATCAATAAACAGGTAAACAACCTGTATTACAACTTGTTTTGTTTGTTTGTTTATAGCAATCTAACAAGATGACCAACTTGTTTTAAGGTGATGGAATCTCTCGGTATTAAACAATGTTTTATTGTGTCTAATTTGTAAATACAGGAAGTTGATTGATTGAGAAAGTCAATCAGTTCTGTTAAGTTTTACACCTTGATAAAATAATAATTGCTTATTATATAAGCACCTTCTGATGAGGAATAATGCATCCTTTTCAAATTAATTACTAAATGAAAACTATTATCTATAATGGATGCTGTTCAACTAACCTAGTCTTAGAATGTTGTCAAGTTTTCCTTAAGTGTGTACATGTCCTGCAATACAATAAATAAACCAAGTACAAATGATGCAAAACGAAACGAAAGTCCTAAACAGCATACTGGAAAAATAGCAGATAATGGACTTTTAACCTTTGGAAATATATCAGTAATAAGTGAATATAGTAAGTATATCATAATGACAAGTGGTATCAGGTGTTTAGAAGAGTAAGCATACCCTGCCTGGCACCGCACCCATCATAGCTGTCCAACAGCATTTGTTTAAGTGGAGATTAAATATGAATACTTCTCATTATATTGATATTACATCTACATATTTTGTATTAAATTTATTTGTTTCCAATTTAGTTTACAAATCTTATTTGAAAACATAACATTACAAACATTATTTGACTAAAATACTCAATAAGTAAATGATAATAATAGTTGTAAATGAGATGACACAATGTGACTTTAATATAAGACCAACCCAAATGAGCCTGAAGAACATTGACTTAATTTCCTTGTGATATTAATATTTTGTTGTAGTACTACTAATTTCACTATGATTTATGACTACCTTTGATGTCATCACAAAAAACAAACAGGATGTCAAGTATTTCCAAGTATATTACTATACTATACTATGTTTTGAAAAAATCATTTTTATCAGTAACGGCCAAATGATACACCAAGTTGGTTTGGTATAGAAATATTTTGGATGACAAAAAAATTGAAATTGGTATGGGTTTGTTTTGTCTACCAAGAAAAGTAAGTAAGGTTTTTCTTTATGAACATAATGTCCAGTAATGTTCATCAGAGATTTTTGTATCATTTGATACAAGAATTTATTTTTATGTATCACTCTATCACATCAATTGCAAGTTGATGTCTAAAATTTGTGAAAGTTTTTCCTAGTTTTTTCAAATTGAACTGTTCCTGATTTTAAAACTGTTCTGGAATATCTCTGTTTTAGTGACAAATAAGTTGAAAACTTAATTTTACAATAAATGTTCAATATTGACACCAATTTGTCAATTTGTAAACGATGTAAAGAGAAATGATTTAAATCTGTCAATAAACATCTTTATATTATAGAGTCAATTGTATTTAGTTGAACGTTACCATGTTACATGATGTTCATTCAATCGTCTAATGAGATTGAACAGACCTTATTTAGGTGTTAGTGGAATCAATTACCCTCAGAAAAGATTGACTAGATTAGTATAGTATGTAGTAATAGTGTGATTTACAGGCTACTAGAGACCTGATCAACTTCTCGTGACAAGATCAATACAGTATCTTACTCGGTTACTTCAGTACAACTTTGGTACCGTCGCTAACCATTTTCAGTCATGTAATGATGGCTTTATTATTTACTGGACAGCTTTTTCTTCACTCCATCCCTTTGGATTTTTTTAAATCCTAAGGGTGAGTTGGTTACTTTACTCAGCTATTGGTTGATTTTTGAAGCAGAAGCAGAATAAATGGGCAGATAAATGATGAAGTTACATACACTACCTAACCTTACACATTACTAATGTTTTAGTACCCTTCCACCTTTCTTCCTAATCAATTTTTAAAGTTTAATACAGCAATATATATTCTGTTAGAGTTCCAGAATTCAACAGACAAGAGGTATAGATTGCAATAAAAAATAATAACATGAATACCTAACTTTCATTGTTTTATTTCTACTCCTTTCAATATTGGTTCATTGTTTCTAAACATAATTAAAGATATTCTGAATCAATATTCTTTATTTATCATTATAATAAATATCTTTATTGATTATTTTAACAAATTGATTAATGAGTTTTTAGAAAATGTACTTCTAAGAAAATATTGGTTTGATTAAGGTACTTAAAAGCACAATGGACAAGGTGCCATTTTTAGGCATTGATGAGCTTCAAGATTTCCTTTATTCTAATACGTTTTATGTCCGAAAAGCATGGCAAAGAAACAACCTTGTATTGTTCCAATTTTTCAGATGAATAGATAATGTTCATATAGTATTAAAACTATTAAATTTAAAAACTGAAAGAAATAAATAATCAAATTTACTGCTGACAACTCCTTGTAGCTACGGTAGTCTGAAAGCACAAGTTATTCTCAGCGTATAGATGTACTATAAGAGATTAAGAATATGTTCAACTTCTGGTACAATGTGATATTAAAAGCCTTGCAGGAATTGATTTTGTAAGAATTATTAGTTGTCAACAGTGATAAGTTCTCCACATCTACTTCAAACATGGCTTGAAATTTCTGTTGATTATGATACATGTTAGTAAGAATGATGCTAGAGGCTATTACTATTGATTACATATAGTCATCTTCAATCTAGATGATGTCAAAGTAAAAAATGTTCCATCTGGATATACTTGAAGATAGTTCTAATTTTCTTTCTGCTGTAATGGAACAGTATAATATTAGAAGCTCTATCTTATAATCTTGTGAGTCATAATATGAAAGTTTTGTTTGAATTGTACATCTTGTGCGTCTGGTCTTGGGTTCTTTTCTCTAGAAACCTGTACATATGAAAGTAATTTTCATTTTTTCCAATTAATTATTTATAAAATATTATACTAACCTCAGTCAAGATCAAGTTTTTGCAGCAATTTTGAAATTTGAACTGATATCGTGGGAAGACTATGTCTTGTCAAATATTACGACTGCATTTCTTGGAATATTTTATTATGCAGCACTAAAGTTAAGGACATGAATTGCTAGATGGAATATAGAACAGTAGTTCTAGTTGTGATAGACAAGTGAATAATGAAATAAAGTAATATCAGATATAATGACGACAGGTTTAATATCAGAAAATAATTAGTCTGTAAGTAATATTATAATACTATTATTAAAAATAATGGAATTGTCTATTATATATAAGACATTCTTAATTATTGTTTGTCTATCTTCAAATAGTTTTATTTCATCACATGACAGTCATTACTTGATTCAGTTTGGAAAAACAGGAATAATAGCAAAAACACTTTGTGACCCAAGTTGTGAGGGTGAAACAAATTTACGTTCAAAAAATAAATGCAAAGATGAAAGTGTCTTTATGGACAATTGGTAAGAACGTTTATATCTTTACAGTGAATCAAATATCCTCATATACTGATAAAAGTTTGAATTAAAAAGGTTTTTTTAATTAAAATAATTAATTATAATGTGAATTAGTTTATGATGTATCAAGTGTTTATTTTAGTTACTATCAACTACTTCATAGTAAATGACTAGTCAAGAGTAGTATTTTCAATAATAGTAAACTGAATAACCTTAATAAATAACACCTAGTCAATTATATATGAATAAAACTTTTTTATATTTCAATACACTATAAATACTGTTGGTCACAAAAAAAACTTGATGACAACAGCTGCAATTTTCTGTAGTCTAGGTCAAAAGGACTATTTTTACCACATCTGGTAATTTCAACATTTCTTAAAAAGTTACTTTCAGGTAACAAGTTTTTTGTGAAAACACCATATGGTAATCTTACTTCTGACTTAATATGGTGTACAAAATCTTTTAACACCATCTGTAGGCTATTATATACAGTCACTGAGTGCTTTTGGTTTATGAAATATCATAATTTTTCAATAACACAAAAGTATAAAAGTGTATTAAAACCAGGTGTAATTTTCATTCTGAAAGATATTGTATGCAACATTAGGATATCTTGATATAGTTAGGTCAAACTAAACTGCTGAGTTTAATTAGTTGAAATTCTATTAATTAATATGATAATACAGTAAATGAAGTATATCATTAAATATTACTTTCTATTCAGTTGGAATATAGAATCATTGTGCAAGTCTTGCTTCACCTGCGTTCAATTAAATTTTTCAGATTTTTCTGTAATGCATGATTCGAATCTGACATGCACTGAATCTTACTGTCCTGAATATATTGCTTTTCACAAAGCACCTCCCATTTGACAAACAACATCAAAGGGTTCAATTTTATTTTGATATCAATATACAGTCAATGATCTTAGAACATGTAATTAAATGATGTAATTTGTTTATACCATGAATACTTATCAACTTCTAAAAAAGGGTTTTAGGCAATCCTTTTTTGTTTGCCAAGTGATAGGGAGACAATGAACTTATTATTTAATGCAATTTATTGTATAAATGGTCTCTTGTGAACTTGTTGACTATGAATAGAAGGAAAAGAGTCAATGATCTAGGAGTAATTATGCAATTAATGATATTAGTGAGCCCTTTTGAACCTATTGATCAATATATGCACATGTGTCAACAATAGGGATCTAAGTTAACAAAGAACATCAAAATCAAATGAATGGAGTTTTACACCCTACTTTTCTGCAGCTGACATGAAGACAGGCAATGCCATAATGTATACAATTAGGGAAATTTTACTTAGCTTACTTTTTTTTTTATTTTCAACTATCAAAGGATTTGTAATAAGTCAATGATAGACCACACCTCGAAAGCATTGATCAAGGACTCAGTAATTATCTACTAGCATACAGAAACATTTCTAGTAGAAGTGTAGAAATTGATCTAGATTCCAATTATAACTTTCTATTGTTACCTTTACTACAACACATATATTGAATTATCTTTGACCTTTTCAAATACAAAAAACACCTTTTATTGCCCTACCATATCTGTAGGATCAGATTTGAAAATTGGAAACAGACACCGAAATGATTGTTAAAATGTGATAATTGAAATGAAAAGTTAATTCCCTACATGATATGAATAATGTAATATATTGGTTTCAATCTTCTTTAATGAATGGGATAAAAGAACACAACCGTTTCTCAGCATGTCAAAACAAGGCAAATTATTGACTGCAGAGTTAATGGTCCGATAGAACTAATAAAATCACTGCCCTGGAAAATTTCTAATTTTTTAATGTTTGATGAAAGAAATAAATACCTGGTTTCCATGGTAATAGATTAATAACAGGAAGACATAAAGACAAATTGTTTCTGAGGTGTTAATCATAATTGAATATCTTGCATTTATTTCAATTATTTATTGCTAGTAATTATAACAATAGTTAAGTCATTAAACCTGTTGAAAGAACTTGACTTTAGCATGACATCTTGAGATGCTAGATACAACAATTAGTCTTCAGACTTAATATTCAAAGATTTTTTAGTATCTTGGTTCTATATTCAAATTATAAACATCAAATTTAACAGCAGGGCTAAGGTTGTGAATCAAGATAGCCTTATCTACACATATATACATTTGTGTTTTTTGTGACAGCAGAAGTAAAATTGCTGAATCTTACACTAGAGGACTTATTTATGTCAACATTTTCACATTTTGGCGCTACCAAATTTTTATTCAATCAACTTTTTTTTATTAAGAGTTTGATTAAAATGGAAAGACGTAAAAACAAATAATTAGAATATTAAAAACCATTAAAAGCGTGAATGATTCTCTTTAACCTTTCTCTTAATTAGTTCTCAATTCACATTAGATAATAAAATAACTCGTAAAATGGGAAAGCAATCAGTGAAGTTTGCCTGACTCGAAACAATAAAATGTATTTCTTTCTCGTCAGTGGTCATCACAGAGCTTTTAGATGCATGCCAGGGTAGAATGGAGGGGATATCTTCATCAATAATAATGATAAAAGTAAATTAATTTGATTCTCTAGGGTTGAAGATAAATCTGGTGATATATTTCTTCACTTCATATAGTAAGATAATTCCTATTGATCTCTCAGTAGATGTTTTATCACATCATTGTGTTCTTAACTTGACTAGCTTCAGTACTTCCTGACAAAATTGTGCTCATTGCACACTGCATACCATTGCCTGTCCTCATTAGCCCAATCAGGTGCATAAAAATAGGACGTAAAACTCCATTCATTTCATTTTCTGCTACTTCCGGAGATATTCAGAAATACTTACAACTAATTTCTTCAATGACATGACTTTATTAGAATTATGATAAAACTGTAAAAAAATTAAGATTTGTATTTGGAAAATTAGACAAAATATAAGACAGTGTTTGAATTTACATTTAGGAATAAATTGTATTTAGCTTTTTGTATTAATGATACATTCAATTGTCTAGTTGGAATTGAATCTTGATATTTATAACTTTACAGTTAAAGATGGCAATGAATTGAATTCAATATTTAGTACAAATTTTATTCATCAGGTTATTTTTCAAGTCTGGTAAAAAGTCTATAATTCAGTCTGATAAGATTTACTTTTGATCTGTGCTCCTTCCCTGGAGATTACCTCCCCTTCCTTTAGCAGACCTGTATAGTTATTTAAAACTTAATAATAGCAATTAAGCATGAAGCATGAATGTTGATGTCCTCTAATAAGGGTAATTGGTAGACTCAGGGGTTGCTATAATATGATTCAAATCAACTTGCTAGACAAATTTATCAAACTGTGAATCTACAATGGTCTTTCAGTTTTCCATTTAGATACAAATGTCTTACACGTTTCTTGTTGATGAATTCTGAGTGAGACTCAGGGGAGTGTGAATGAAACTTATTAGGTTGTAAGTCGGAATTAAAGGGTTTTAAGATGTATATATATAATAGGTTTTTATAATTAGCATGATTATGTATAAGTGATTGTGATTTCATTTGTTAAAATTCTAATTGAAGATGGTGTCACCATCTGGAATAATATAGACCTACCCTATTGTGACCATGTTAATTGTGGTATAACAAGTACAGTGATTACTGACTGGGGTCTTACAAGATTATTATTGCTAATAGATAGAGGCCTTTGTTTTAAAGTAAAGAATTATTGAATGACTCCATAAGCAATTGAAATACTTGTCACACAAAATAGAACCTTATGCTAAACTAAACATACCAAATTTCAAACTTGATTCTGTGAATTGTTTGGTTGTATATAAAAACATTGGCTGTGTGAATCAGTAGACCCTATAAAGATGGACAAGGTTTCTAATATGAATATAGCCCGATTATTTTAGCTAGGGATTAGTCTTTTTGTTGTAACTGTAAGTGTGATTTTAATCAGTAGAAATATGGTGTAATGTTGTATTTTATGATGATGAAGTAACTTCATATCAAAGTAGTTTTGTTGTGACATTGTCATGAAGATTAAAAATTAATGAACCCAGCAGATCTAATCATTCAACTCTGCTTTATTTGATGTTTCTAGGGGTTTTTGTTAGACAGATCATTTCTTCTGATATTGGGATTCTGAGGTGGGGTCAACTATTGTCGTAGATTTTTTACATTTTAAAGGTGATTTTCATCTACCTTGCCACCCTATTTCATTATCAAGATAAATCACAGCAAATAACAACACAATTTTCAGTGTTTCTTAAGGTTTAAAATGTCTTGCATGTCAAATGTGTCTAATAGTGCATATATTTTTCTACCAATAAAATAGGTTTGATAATTTGCTCTGATCCTGCATTTGTTCCTAAAATGCCTGAAGGTTTTTAGTTTTAACTTTTTAACTTCAATGTAATGTAATAGTCATAAAATGTGTATCATATAGTTCATGTTATTTATTTTAAAAACATGTTAAATAGAAAATTGATTAAGTTAAGTCTATATAGGGAGAATAAGCAACATGTAGATAGAGAGTTGATGTTATATAAAAACATAGCAGAGAATTATTGAGTTATTATATTATACTCATATGTCCCTAGGGTAAGATCTGTTACACTCAGAAAATATCACATCACAAACTCAACTGTACACAAGATGAAAAGGAAATATTTATAAAGTTGATTAGGCAGAACTCTGCAGGTGAAAAGACAGTAACATCAATAAATGATGATTGTAATATTACTCTAGAGTTAGAACTATACTTCTATTCAGTAATGAAGATTCCTCTTAGGCAATAGTTGATTGGAATACACTTGATGTTACTGATAAGTCTTTCATTTCTACAATTGCTTTGGAAATATTTGGGTGTGGTTATATATTGTATTTTCTGAAAAGGTTCTTTGCTGTGGAAGCTTCTTTTATCCTTGTATTGTCTAAAATAGTAGATGACTTGTGTTCTGATTCTGTAGTTGTTTTGAGTATTCTTCTCAAATCAATTATAATCTTTGTAACTTTATTTAGAATATTGTCGCAACTTTATCACTGAGATAGATTTGTTTTGTGAATTTTTGTATTTTTAGCAGGTGATATTTCTTGATGGTCACAGTCATTTTGTAAAAAATTGTGATATCAAAATGTTCTAATTTGTACTGTCTGTAGAAATCATTATCAATTTCAGGCAGTTTTTCCTTCTTAGAAATCGAAATTGACAAGTTTACATGATTAAAACAACCTGTTATTCATGTTACTTAAGTTTCTATTCTTTATATTTTCAGGTGAATGGCCAAGATTTGTCCAACTCTACACATGAGGAAGCCGTAGAGGCATTCCACTCTGCCCAGGAACCAATAGTTGTAGAAGTATTACGTAGAGCTAATAAAAATAAAATGAAGAGTCGATCACCAACATTAGTTTCTATTGGAACACAAACAGAAGAAGATTTTTATTGTTATAACCGTCCACCAACTCCACCACCCTTACATTATCCACATTTATCTCACGGGTAAGCACGCTTTATTATGCTATGATGTACACTAGGGCTGCAATGATTCATTGTTGAATCGATGAACCTCAATTTGTTCCTTTCTTATTGATGCATTGCGGAAGAAAAAAATAATCGCGATACATCGGCCTGATTCTCATAAATATAATTAACTCCCTTTAATGACTAATAGCGAGGAATCCTTGCGTATTTTAGAATTTGTGTCATGTTCAAATGTTAAAAAATTGCTCTTCACGTATTAATTTGTCTTCAGCATTTTTAATTTTTGTCATAAACGATGAAAAGAGAACATATTAATATGCCAAGTGGAAGATAAACGCATGGGATCTGATATAAACTTTTTCTTTTTCCAACGTAATATGTGTATTCGATACAGCGCTCTTGGAAATTAGATTCTTCAGCTCAATGCGTTTTTATAAAACCAAAATATATATGATCCATTCTCAAATGCACAATTTATGACCTCGTTACTAACAACAAAATACAGAACGACATTTCTTTGCCTTTTCGGTTCGAAAATTTTTTTTTTTTAAGTCTCTGGTTCTCAAGATCGTGGTTTCGAATGGCTCCAAAAATAACAGAATATCGTGGAATACCTTTTTGTCGAAACATTTGAACATTTGAAATATTTTATGAATTATTAGCTCGGAATCATCTCTAAGTATAAATGTCTAGTTTGGAAGTCATTTGGTTTTCCTGTTCTGTGTTAAAATGTTATTAATTATCAGTTTTCTTTTTCTTTCCCTTTTAATCAAAGAATAAAGATTTATTATCGCAATAAATTGTATTGTTGAACGAGTATCGTTCAGTGTATCGGATCGCCACTTTAGGAATCGTTACAGCCCTAATGTACACAGCTATGAAATGTTGACACATAAACATAAAAATTTATAATATAATTATTATATATACTTGTTTATATTGTTATTTATACATACATAATGTATTACAGTAGTTATTCTTGTTACACAAACTGGTACAAAATCACTTTCATAAATTCTAACATATGTAATCTTACTACCAAACAGTTGAGATTAGAATTAGAAATTCATACATTAACACATTTTAAACACTTTGCCATTAAAAATTTTATTTTAAAAGAACATGCGCGAATGTTTAAAACACAGACCTATCTGATTTGTTGGATTTTTTTTGTTCAAGCAAATCATCAGTGGACAATAATGTTGAGAAATATAAATATAGCCCCAGAAGAGAAAGTAATATCTTCTAGAATTCCCAATTTACACAATCCTAGGCCTATTGATTACTATTAGTTATTTATGAATCACAAGATAGGATATAGGAGATGCCCAGTTGTAGAAATATACACCACATTTTCAAAATACAAATTAACCAAATTGGTTTCAACATTTCTTATTTGACAGTTGATGGATTTGGTGTATAAATTAGTAAAAACTTGATATTTTACATGGTATAAACCTAATATCAAATAACAGTCAGCATTTAATATCATTTTCTACAACTTTTTATCTTGTGTAGTGTGTGCTCATGCACATTTATTCCATCATTTCATGCATTTTATCTATTTACACAAGCATGAAAACAGACAAACTGCTCAATATCCATTCTGGTGTTTGGTAATTGTGGTAAGAATCTAAGTTATATCTGGTAAATACGAGTTGTTTAATATGTTTTACTGAGAGGCAGTCTGATTGTTCAGCAATAAATGTTAAATTGATCAGATGTTTCTACTAACTTATATACTGTTAAAACATAACTTATACTTTATTTTATCTACATCACAGGTGCAAATACTTGCACTTTTATTTCTTCGAATTTCATTGCAGTCTGGCGTTAAACTGTTAAAACTTTTTATTTGAATTATACATGTTATTACTGAATAACAGATGCTGTACGTCTTGAAAAAATACCTTACAAATTGTAATGATGCAGTTTTATTTAATTACATGTTAAACCGGCTTTCCTAGTTTAGACCAAAACAAATATCATTAGCAGGCAGCAATGGACAAAGTTCTCAGCTTTCAGGTCAATGTCTTGGTACAAAGGCCTTGGCTATGAGTAGATGTTTTTGGCAAAGAATGTCTTTAGACCCTGACTAAGCAATATCTTCCAATATCTTTCCTCATTAATCTTCATTTATAACTGACCAGACTTATCACCTATACTCTACTTCCAATTCCTATTATCTTCTACCAAACAGCATTTTAACTAGACTTTTATTACCAGTCTTGTCTATTCCTCTATCTTTAATATCAGTGATTAACAGCTGGATATTCAGGACTATAGATACTGACCAAGTAATAAATAACCAGTAATTATGTGTAAGGAATACCTGCCTAGTTTTAAAAGATCAGAATACATCAATATACCTGATGGAACCGGTAGAGTTTCTACTGTCTATGATTGATTGATCTGGTCATCTCAAGGTAACGGTGAATAAATAGCCAACCCCATTCACATCAGACAATTCTCTTGGTTTGGGTGTAGATTTTTGGTGTAACCAATATATTTGACTATTGTGTTCTCTGTTTATTGAAAGGGTCTGCGAGCCTTGTTATGAAATTTGTTTGAAAGATATGTTTTGTTTTAATTATCTAACATCATGTCTTATACAAAGTACTGGATTGCTCTGTTATTTGTTTTATAATCATATAGTATTAAGACTACCATGATTGAACTCAGACATTTTTGTTTTGCTTTAACAAAATATGTCAAATTTCCTGAAACTCAATTTGACTGGACTGTGGGATATGTCTGTCTTCTGCTATTTCTTCTGTGTCTGCTCCTGATAAAGCCTGATCCATTTAACTGATACTTTCTGTAGATTAAAAAGGTTTCTGGTGATAATTGAAGGAACATGCAGACAGAAACCCGTTACAGGAGACAATATCTAACTATTTTAATATAAATATTTATTATTAGAGATTTCTAACTTGACAGAAAGAGAAATAAAGATAATGTTAATGGAGGAAATGGAAGGGTGTAACTAGAATTATTGTCACTAGAACTCCTGTGGTTTGAATCAAATATTTTAATATAAAGGTGCAATAAGTCACAGTATGCAACCTAAATGTCAGTTTTGAATTATTTTAATGATTTTTAGAATTAGACCTATACATGTAGGTAACAAACCAACCCCAAACACGGCCACCCACCCTGACTTATCTTTATAGTGTAGTGTAGAATCATTTTCATCAAAACAGGTCTAAATTGTTAAAATTGGAGCAACAGTTACTCAGAATGAATAATGCTTAATTTCCCATGGGCTGAATGTTAAACAGGTCCATGTCCTGACCTACGTAAAATTTAAAAAAAACCAAATTGTTGTGTGCAGACATTGAGGTTTTTCTCCACCAAAATACCCCTTAAAGACATTTTGATGTTAAATGTCCATGAACAAAGCAGATGATATCACATCTTATCAACCAGAATTTCGAAGTATTTTGTAAGATTTGATGTAACAGGTGAGTGTCTGTAGACAGTAAAAGATAAGTGAAGGCTGATATTTGAGCATCTATCTTACTAAATTACTATACTAACTTATCAACTAATAAATATTTAAACTAAAAAACACCCCAGATAACATTTTATCAAATTAAACAAGTTATAAAACGTAGAGTATTTATCAGGAGTTGTGGTCTGGAGTCAGATCATAATGTCCAAGTTCGATACTATCTGTATTTACTCTCCATCAATTATGCTGTGTTCGCTACTATCTGTGGTTAGTTGGAAATTTTTGTCTAAATATTAAGATCAAATATCACTTAGAAAAATAAAGATTCAATTTCTTTTGGAGTTGGTTATCACAACTTGAAAGTTCATCTGATTTGACAAAATCTTCGAAATACAGAGAGTAGATCATGTATCGCATCATAATTTATCGCATCATAATGTAGAGATGATGTCAATGTTTTTAGACTTTCTATTCAATAATAGCAACAGATTTTATTGGTGAAAACAAGAACCAAATCAATTAAAACTGGTAAAGGAAATGTTCTTATTTACCACACCTGTTACAAAACCTAGGTGTGTACAGAAAGACTGATTAATCATCATCCACAAATGTTCAAATTGGCAAATTTTATCTGGCCTGATGATACAATATTAAAATTTTCTATATATATTTTTCTTAAGTGAATTTTAGATGGGATGGTGTACGAAGATCAAAATAGAAAACACAACTGGTTATAGTTTGAAAATTTTGCATTATTATTACAATTGCTACATACAAATTAAATGATTTTATTTTTAAAATATGGTTTAGAATCAAATGTGATTTTAAGAGTACAAGCAGTGTTTTCCTCACTATAAAACTTGACATATCTAAAATAAGTCCTATTATTACAAGTGAAAAACAGTAAAAACAAAGGGTTCAATGTACCAATATTTCAAAGGCATCTGTTGAGATGATCAGGTCTGATCTAGTATAATATTCAAATCAAAGGATTGCACTAGTTGCATGATAGAAATAGAAGTTTGTCTGGCATGAGTACATCGTTAAGGTTTTTATTCGTGCAATCTGTTGTAATGATATTAAAACTCTTACATGTGATAGTGACAGATCTGTATTATAGAGATTGGATTAGTTCATCCTTAAATCAATCTAATCTTTCCAGGTGCAGGAAATGTATTGATATTATTATTTAGATCTCTCTATGAAGGAGAAAATGAGAGTGTATCATGCATAACCCTATAGAGTATTATATGCTGTAAATAATCATAAAAGTTGAATCATAGATATTGCGTGTTTATAATATTCCAGGGTTGTTTTGGGTGTTCTAAGAGTATGTATGCCACATTAGTATATTGTAGCCTTGCTTCATGAGCAGCAGTATTATCAGCTGAAGTACTACATCCAAACAATCAAAACTGTACCCTGAAAATCATGTATAACTATGAAAAACTTTATCATATTGTAGGCCCACAGGCAAATCTTTTCTTAAAATTAAATAATTTTTTTATCAATGATATAAAAATGATGGCGTTCAAATAGTTATAATAATTTTCTTTTAAAAAATAATTCTGGTTTTAATTTCAACCCTGGTCAAAAGTGAGTTATGTTTGGCGCCTAATTTTCTGTCAAGTCTGCTAATTGTGAAATTATATAGCTCTTATGGGATTTGGATTGTTGTATTATTTCCTGTAGTTTGGAGTAATATAGTCTATACATTAATCTTATAGACATAAATTCATTTATAATTTTAACTGGGAGCCACTAGTCAGTGATATAAACAAAAACATTAAACTATAGATATTCATTTATGACATATTAATTTCAGTTGGAAGATTTAAAACTATTGGAATCAACTTGACAACAAATACTGGTCAAAAACTTATGAAATTAAGAGATCAGTCTTAATTATTTGCAAAATACATGTATTTATGATTTGCCATATCTTGTAAGGAGTAAGATTTAAGAAAAGAAGTGATGATATTTCAGTGAGTAACTTGATATTTCCAACACTCAATGACAAAATTCCCAGTAGAGACAATTTTCGTGACAACCTCCTCTTTAGACCCATACATCAATAAAACAACCACTTTGAGAAAAAATCATTTAATGATGAAATTCACTTAGTCAAGGAAATAAAATGAACGTTTTCTTAAAGAGTTGGAATTGGAGAGAAGTGTAAAAATAAATCAGTGAGAGTGTAATATGTGCGCTAGGGTGACTGGAGTTTTAAAGATGTCTGTCATTAAAGATGGAATAAAATGTGAGAGTAAAAGAGAGGAATATAGAGAAATGAGTAATCTTGCTATTCAGTACCTGTCACATCACACGACAAATTCTTTAAATATTGTCAACTCTCTTCAACTAATATCCACCTTCTTCCTTTCTAAATCTTCTGTCAGAGTTTTTATTAAGGTAGTGGGAAGAGACGGTGATTTGAGTCACCATTGGAATGACAAATAACTGGACTACAGGTAATTAAGTTGAAATGAATCTCCATCGTTATTTCTCAAATTCCAATCTAAATCCTAAATTTGCTGTGAATTTCTGTGATTAGGCAGTCTTATTATTCACCTCGCTGACCATTCTACACTTTCAATTACTTTTTTCTCACAAAATAAATTGCAGCAATTTGTGCAGCTTTGAAATTGTACAGAATTTTCTAAATCAAGTGAAGCAAGAAAATTGTCATTTGATGATGGTCGAAAAAAGTAGTGAACTGAGAAACTAATGATTAAGGGTCTCTATTAGAACCAACTGCCTTCAATTCTTTACAACTTTTCTTAGCCTCTTACTCATTTTAGAGGACTTAATTTTGAACTTAGAATTTGTATGTTTAATAATAGTCATATAAAATACAACAACATAGGAAATAGTAGCTAGATATTTGGTGATGTAAATTTTATATTTGACCAGTAATTGAATGAAAGCTTGGAGACTGGACTAGAAATATTATAATTGTGTTTGTCATCTAATACTTATAATATGATCAAGACTGTTATTCAATTTTACATCAATTTTCAGGTTGACTCTTTCATTAATATTTACTTCAATGAAATTAAATTGATTTCTAACCAGACATTGTGATAATTGACAAATTGGAACACCATCTTTCTTATATTTGCTATGACAAGCTGTGAACAGTGTTTGGTGGAATTTCAAAGTTCAAGTGATGTTAGTAATCCACTTGAGACATACAACATTCATTAACAAGAGCTGTGAAAAACATAACAAACTAATGACAGGTGTCGTGACAGGTTTCAAGGTCATTCTCAAGAGTGCCATAAAATCCTCTGAATCTGCTATCCAGTCTGAACCGGTTTCTGCCCTCTAATTTACAAAAACAAATAGATTGGGTAATTTGCCTAAGTGTCATAGGGTACAGCCATTAAATCAAGTTGTCAACAATAACTCTTGACATATTGAGACTCTAGTCTTTGACATCCAGCGTCTTGTTGTGGTTTCCTGTCAATGGAAAACTCATTATCTTCTATTTTGACCACATGGCAACCATGGCACCGTTATTTTGATTGACTTAGTTTTAACATGTAGTTTTAACATGACGTACCATCAGATATACTATGTTATTGTTTATATTTTCTTATCAATTAGTTTTTATTTATCTGCTTTTTTCTTATCAAAAATACCAAGATTATGAGCTATGAAAACTAGTCATAAAGTAAAAATAAAATAGAAATCAAAGTGTCAGAGATATTTTCACCATTAAATGGACAGTGATTTATACAGAGAATGGAACTGGAATTTGGTAATGGCAATAACTCCAGGAATATTTGAAGAGGAAACCATGTCTGTGCCTCAGACATTTGTATGGGGTGACTTAAGAAGCATGAACTTGAGGCTAATAAAGTGAAGATCAGATATTTTCATTCTAGTGTGCAAATGAGATGAATTGCATAATGTACAAATATGCAGAGAATAAGAATTTCAAGTCTTGATCAGAATAAATGTAAATGATTTAAGATAGCTGTTGACCCATATTACTTCAATTTTATGACTTCAATTTTAAGGCTTTTTTAAGCCTAAGGTGTAATGTTTCATTCAATATGGATTATGAATAACAATATATTCATTTTCTAGCCTGCTTGGTATTGATTAAGATTGGCATCTGCGAGGCAGTTTGGTTTCTCATGTTTGCTTTCTCAGAATGCTGATCCCATAGCCAGAGCTTTAAAAAGTCTGCCTATTGTCTTCCTTGACTGCAAATACCCTTTTGAGGTTAAATTTCAATTAGCTTATTTTATGTATGAACAAAACCTGCTGATGTGTTCAAATGAATGTAATTTGTATTTGACAATGAAATGAAAGAGGTAATTATCTGATCTATGTTCAGTATTCAACATGCTCACCATATTTTGTCACTGAATATAAAATACAAGTGTTCAAATTAACCCTGGCAGTAGGTCCATTGTGTCTCTTTACTCAACATAATTACCTTTTTTTTATTGACCATATAAACTAAATGACCCTTGTCCATGAGCCTAGATTACACATTATAATAGAGACAGTGTGAGAGATAACTATGGTCACGCTACACTAAAATGACAAGTAGCTTGGACGCTGAGCTGCCATATGGGAGCAATGAAGTGCCACGCTTGTTTTCAACCATGTGTCAGAATCTTTAATGAGTTTGCTGTGGGACAGTTTAGAAATTTGACTCTTTCTACCTCCAATATTAGAGATAAGAGTAAAGGGTTTTAATTTAGTGTTAAAAGCCCCCCTTGCTTTTACAGTTAACTTAATAATAATGACATTGAAGAAATTGTTGTGGAATTTAATGAATTAGGTCTGTAAAAACTATTAAGATGGTAGACTATAGACCAGTAGATTCCGGAATGGTGCCACAGACTTATGGTATCCAATGTGTTAATATTGAATTTAACTCTTGCTGGTCTTCTATTTTATTTTAATGCTTGAAATTAATGTTGTTTTTTTGTTGAAAGCCAAACTAAGCAAGAGGTATATAAAGTTCAAAGAAGTATAAAAGGGCACATATCCTTGTTTTAAAGATAAATTCATGCACACCCTAAATATGTTTGTCTCTCTAACAATGTGTTTCAGTCTAGACTATCTTTATTAGCTGTTTTATTTATCGGCTTACATCAACATTTTTTCAAAATTAATGATAACACTTTTTATTCTTTATAAACTATTTAGGGGTGTCATTTTAGTGTTATATTTCATTTGATTTGTGATAATTCAGATTTCAGAAGTTAGGGGACTTTTTAAAATAGTGAAAACCACATGAGACTTTGTTTAAGGCTTGTTTACTTGACATTATTATGAATGTGTAAATTTGCCTATAGATTATATATTGTTGAGATGTTTGGTTACATCTTGTGAGGTAAATGGGGAGTATAGTATGTATAAAATGTGTTTTATATTAACTTTAACTCTATCTTTACCAATAATACTATAATAAATCTTTTTTACTGACTATTTTACCATCTTTTAGTCAGTAATTTTAAAGGTACCTGTCGTTTATTGTATTTCATGGTGCTATATTACATTATAACACAGGCTTATAATGGTTTTATGTCTCCAATTCTCAATTTAAAGCATGCTGTCTGGGGAGCTTTATGTGTTTATCCTACATTGATATACTTGGGAGGCCAATGAACTTGGATTTGTACTTTTCTTATATTCTTACAAATTTTATGCACAATAATGTTTGTTACAAAGCCATTTCAATATTTGTGTAGCAGGTTTGACTGTTTCCAGACTGAAAAATATGAAACCAACATATAACTCTTCACATTTTTTTTATATTATGACCATACTTGTTACTTTATGTTTTGCCTTTGGTGTAAAATGCTGCAATTAAAGATAGTTAATAAAAAATCAGACTTTATAGACAAATTAAGAACAAATATATCAGAAAAATTATAAAGTTATTCCTATCAAACAGTCTGTTTAAAAGTTTCTTAAACTACTTAGATTATTTCTCAGCAGTTAAAATTGTAAGAAGGTTTGCTAAGATGATACTCAAGTAGATTTATCAACACTAGAAGATGTTTGTATGCATACAATATTGTAAGAAGTATATTGAAATAGTAATATGAATTGTGCAGTCAGTCAATATTAGCCTACCTACTGAGTTCAGCACCTTCTATATTTACAATATCTACTTTATTTCAACACCTCCATGTTACCTAGCTTATATTCTTGAATAACTTGTATTATTTAATCTGAAATATGAAACACCTTCCAAATTCTACACATTAAAGAGCAGACGACAGACATAGTTGATAAAATCATGTTACTAGGTGGACATTTTTGACGTAATTTTGTAATATCCTTTTTGCATTTTTGATACCTTGCAAATTGATAAAAAACATTGAGTTTAGTTTATTTAAACAAGACACTAAGACAAGTAAAAAGGTCTACATATTCAGTTTCATACCCATATAGGATTATGCAATAATCAAATGGAACAAATTAGAAAGTGTTACAAAAATGCAAGATATTGTTGATAGACTTGTGAACGCTCTTCTTTGCATTATATTATATTCATGTATATAATGTCTTAGGTGATAATCATATTGTTATACCTTCAGCTCTTCTGATTTATAAACATTACAGATGACTGATGTCATAAACTCAGGATACAGTTTCCTTAAAAGAGATTAAAAGAAGAAAAATGATGTGTCAGAATAGTTGACATTGCACTTAAATTGGTGTTTGATAATAAATCTGATAAGACATCAGAGTTTGTTGAGGTCAACTGTTTTTAACAGTATTTTCTTTCAAATAATATTAAGGTACAACACCAATTATTTAGAAGGAATTACAAATACTTTTATACAATTGTATGCTAGGTATTAAGTAGGACAGGTAATTTGGTTGTATAGAGTTTAATGAAACTTTATTCCATCTTTTTATAATTTGGT